TTTGATTATGGTCAAGGGCACATACCTCAGTTGCAGGCTTGATCCTCGGCCCAGGTCAGGGCATGTGCAGGAGGCAACCAATTGATGTGTCTCTCATATTGATGTTTCTCTCTCTGTCTCTCCCCATTCTTTCAACTCTCTCTAAAAATCAATGGAAAAAAATATCCTTGGGTGAGGATTAACAAAAAAGAAGAAAGAAAGAAAGAAAGAAAGAAAGAAAGAAAGAAAGAAAGAAAGAAAGAAAGAAAGGAAGGAAGGAAGGAAGGAAGGAAGGAAGGAAGGAAGGAAGGAAGAAAGAAAGAAAGAAAGAAAGAAAGAAAGAAAGAAAGAAAGAAAGAAAGAAAGAAAGAAAGGAAGGAAGAAAGAAAGAAAGAAAGAAAGAAAGAAAGAAAGAATTCTGGGCAGAAGGAAGAGCAGCAAGTGCAGAGGCCTAAGATGGCCGTGGGCAAGCTGGGCGGGGGGGGAGGGGAGGGGAGAAAGGGGGGTTCAGGTCACAGTCAGCCCTGCAGGCTTTTCCTCCTCAGTGAGACGTGACACAACCTGGAAGATTTCAGACTGACGTGACGTGACTTGTTTGCTCTTTTTTTAAAAAATATATTTTATTGATTTTTTACAGAGAGGAAGGGAGAGGGATAGAGAGTCAGAAACATCGATGAGAGAGAAAGATCGATCACCTGCCTCCTGCACACCTCCTACTGGGGATGTGCCCGCAACCAAGGTACATGCCCTTGACCGGAATCGAACCTGGGACCCTTCAGTCCGCAGACCGACGCTCTATCCACTGAGCCAAACCGGCCAGGGCGTGACTTGACATTTTAATAGGACCGCACAGGTTGCTGGGTGGGGAACAGTGGTTCGGGATCAAGAGGGGCAGGAGCTGGATTTAGAGACTGAAGAACAACCCGAGAGAGAGAGGACTGAGAGAGGCAAGGATGATGGCAGTGTTTGGGTCTGAGCAGCAAAGAGGATGGAACTGGCAGTGGTTGGGGCGCATGGAGTGTGAGGCGCCCCCGGGCATTGGCTGCAGAGCGGGCGTGAGTGCAAGAGGGAGTCTCCAGGCCAGAGAGAACAGTACCACGTGATGCGGCAGGCCCCCTCTGGACAGAGCCCCAGGAGGACTGAAAGCAGGCCTTGGGCGTGTGTGTGTGCAGCCATGTTCGTAGCAGCAGCATTCACAACAGCCAAGAGCTGGAAGCAGCCAGGTGTCTACTGATGGGTGAGCAGATAAACCCAATGTATCGACACAGTGGAATACTATTCAGCCTTGAAAAGGAAAGGAGTTCTGACATGTGCTACATGCATGAACCTTGAGGACATGCTAAGCAGATCAAGCCAGTCACCACGAGACAGATACTGTAGATTCCACGTATGTGAGGTATCAGACTCATAGAGACAGGAAGTAGAAGGACAGTGGAAGGGGAAGTGGGGCTGGTCACTGGGTGTGAAGTTTCAGTACAGCAAGTTGGAAAAGTTGTGGAGATCTGTTCTTCCACAACAACGTGCATATACTTAACACTTCAGATGGCTAAGATGATAGAGTTTACTAGAGGCCGATGCTCGAAATTCATACAAGAGTAGGCCTTCCTTCCCCCGGCTGCCGACACCAGCTTCCCTCCGCACCCAGGACCCGGCCTTCCCTCGCAGCCCCGGCTTCGTCCAGAAGGTTGTCCGGAAAGACGTCCAGTCTAATTAGCATATTACGCTTTTATTATTATAGATGTTACATGTTCTTTACACAATAGAACGAAAACACAATTAGTTCATCCAACTGTTCGCTGATATTATTGCCATTGTTTTGGTGAGGAGGCAAAAAAAGACAGGAAAGGCGTTGTCTGCCCGAACCTGGTCAGTGAGTGTGGACCCCTCCCCCGCGGCCTCCTGCCAGAGGGCACAGCGAACGCCAGGGAAACGGGGGGCTTGTGTGGGCTTCCGGGGACCCTGGGAGCCGTTGCCCCGCCTGAGCGTGA